GGGCATGAGTTGACCACAATCACACAAAGAGAAAATCCTGCCTCAGCTTCTTCCTGATCTACACAGCTCTTCATCTGGGTGCCGACTCTCTGCCTTCCTCTTGTTTCCACAGACACAGAACCTTCATTTCTCCCAAAGCCCACCTCCGCCTGCACTCTGGATCCCTTCCCTCTCTCCTGCAGATTTCTCCTCTACTAGATCGTCCCTCTGTGCATGCTGTAAGCACCTCCCTTAACCTCCAGGTCTCTGTTTGACTACTAACTATTTCTCTAATTTCTTTCACATGTAAAGAGCATTGCTGCCTCCTCTTTCCCTCCCCAACCCATTCAAACTGGGCTTCTGCCCTCCTTGCTCCCCCTGCCTCTTTTGTTGGCTCCTTCTCCTCTAATCAGTTTCTAAAGGTTAGAGGGTACCAGGGATCCGTCCTGGGCATTCTTTTCTTCCATTTCTGAATGTTCTCCCTTAGTGATCCCATCCAGGCTCATGACTTTGAAGACCATGTATGTTCTGATGACTTCCCAATCTCTGTCTCCAGCCCTGATTTTCCCCCAAACTTCACTTGAATATCTAATTGCTTTCTTAACATTTTCACTTAGATGTCTGATGGGGCAACTCAAACATAGCTTATCCATGAAGAACTTGAGTTCTTCTCCCAGACTCGCCCTCCAGGCTTCCTATTTGTAGCAGCTGGCAGGCATGTTCACCCAATTGTTCAACCTTTACATCTAAGAGCCAGTCTCGATTCCCGGCTTTCCTCATCTTCCACTGGCAGCCCATCAGCAAGTCTTGTCTGCTTTATCTCCAAAGCACATTCCAAACTTGCCCACTTCTCTCCATCTGTATGCTAATCACTCTCACCCAAACCACCATCAAACTGTTTCCCAAATGACTGCAATGGCTCCTCAGCTGATCCATCTGTCACCATTTTATTCTCCACTCTTGACAGTGAAGCCCAAATGGCCATGTCATGCTCTTGTCTAAAACCCTCCCATGACTCCCACTGTACTTGAAATAAAATTCAAAGTCCTCAAAGCAAGATATATCCTGGTTTCTGCCTACCTCTCTGCACTCACTTCCTCCTCAGCTCTGCTCCAGCCACACTGATCTCTCTGTCGCTTAAAAACTTAAAGTCCGTTCCCACCTTAGGACCCCTGCACTGGCAGTTCTTCCTGGAACACTCTTCTCTTTGATGTTTGAATGACTGGTTCCCTTTCATCATTCACATCTCAGCTGAAATGTCAATACTCAAAGAGGCTTTTCCTGACCACAGGACTGAAGTGGGCACCCTCCACTTCCTATCACGTCATCGTATTCTCTTTCCTTACCTCCCAGAGGAGAGTCACACAGATAGACAGGAACAATAGGTATTTTCCTATATTTTTCCTGTCTATCTCTCTTCCGGGAGGTAAGTCCCACAAGGGCTGAGACATTGTCTTTCTTCTTCACCACTATATCTGCAGGACTCAGAACAGTGCTCCACCGTATGTGTGTGTGTGTGTGGTGTGTGTTTGTGTGGTGTGTGTGTGTGGTGTGTGGTGTGTGTGTGTGGTGTGCGGTGTGTGGGGGGGTGTGCGGTGTGTGGGGGGGTGTGTGTGGTGTGTGTGTGTGGTGTGTGTGTGTGTGTGGGGTGTGTGTGGTGTGTGTGTGTGGTGTGTGTGGTGTGTGGTGTGTGTGGTGTGTGGTGTGGTGTGTGTGGGTGTGGTGTGTGTGTGGTGTATGTGTGTGTGTACATACACTCACATAGTGTGGCTATATGTTGTTGAATGCATGAATAAATGGGTAAATAAATTAGTAACAGAGCTAGGACCAGAATCCAGGCCTCCTGCCCCCGTTCAGCGTTTTTTCCTGCATGCCGTATCAAGCTGCTGTTTTCACCAGTTTGATTGCTGTCTTCCTGTTGACCAGATACTTGGCACCATTCAACTTTCAACTGGTTCCAGAGCCCAGTGAGAAGGGAAATGGCCACAAGGGGGCGGGAGGGAGAGGAAAGAGGGCGTCTGATTGAATAACAAGGTCTGTAAGAAGCCCAGCAAGGACTGAGAATCTAGCATTCTACTATTCATTCCATCATCCACGGAATAATATTTAGTAAACACCTGCATGTCAGGCATCATGTAAGGTACCAGGGATAGAAAGACAAACCTACTTGGATGGATCTGACCGTCTCCAGAAGGAGATGGAGGCATAAGCACAGTGTAATGAGTGAGGACAGGGTGATACATGCCACGAAAACACAAAGCGGACGGGAGAACGCTATGTGAGGTGGGTTAGAGATCCAGAAGATGACCCAGGGAGGGGGACATTTGAACCGAGTCTTAAAGAGTGAAGGTGAATGATTGAAACCTCTCAGTCTGCATTTTCACATGAAAAGTACATTTGTCCGTCCCCTTTATTCTAACTGACAAAAAAAAATCACTTTAGAAAGGCATACAGGATGACTCTGGTAGTGGAGAGAACCACTTATTAAGAAATACAGAATTCTTCATCCGGAAACATTTTTTTTTAGGAGATGAGATAGTTCTCTATTTCTTGCCACAAAGAGTCCACTCAAATAACTGCATCTCCCCTGCAGGTCTTGGAGTGAAACCACTGAGGCAATCACCTACAGGAAGAAAGATCACCCAACAGAAAACTGCTTTCCGGAAACACCACAGACCACAGACTGTCTCTTTAAGAAATGTGCTGTCAGGTAAAAGCAAGATTTTGCAGCAGGTGAAAGAATGAGGTAGATGTACGTGTATTGATATAGAGAGATAGATTCATTGCTACATTTTTGAAAAGTTTCTTGGCTGGGTGTCTTGGCTCAGGCCTGTCTGTAATCCCAGCACTTTGGGAGACTGAGGTGGGCGGATCACCTGAGGTCAGGAGTTCGAGACCAGTCTGGCCAACATGGTGAAATCCCATCTCTCCTAAAAATACAAAAATCAGTTGGGTGCAGTGGCCTGTGCCTGTCATCCCAGCTACTCGGGAGGCAGAGGCAGGAGAATCACTTGAACCAGGAAGGCAGAGGTTGCAGTGAACCAAGATTGCACCACCGCACTCCAGCCTGGATGACAGAGTGAGTGAGAGTCAGTCTCAAAAAAAAAAAAAAAGTTTCAGAACATCGAATATTGTTATTATTACGTACGGATCTGTATAGAAAGATCTAGAGGAATAATTACAAACAAAAGTGTGGGATGATGAGGTGCTCACGTTTCTTGAGTCCTGCATTTTGGTACTGTTTTAATTGTTCTGAACAAACGTGTATTTATTTTGGGACTTGTTTAGAATGTAGGTCTGATTTGTTTTATGACGCTTAAGAATGTGTTACTGGCTACACATTCCAGAAACATGTGAAGAGAAGATTTCCCTAAGGTATACCACTTCCCAATACTTACAGAACAAATAAACCGAGACCCAGGAAGATGGTGCGGCTTTTCTCCTAGACTGGGACCTTCAGCTCCATGGTTGCCAACTTCAGTGCTGAAAGCTCAAAGACACAGATATCTCCAACTCCAACACACATATTTGGAAACTTAGGCAAAATATTGCTTTGTGGAAAACGGTGCAACTCCTTACAGGAGAGAGAAGTTTTTGTATTAAGCTGAAAAGCGGCTAATTGTGTATTTCTTCAACGACAGGCAATTCTTGGTGGCAAATGTGACACAGGTGAAGAAGACAGAAACATACAGGCTAGTGCTTTTCCAGAAATACAAGTGAAATCAAAATCGCATGGATATTACCTTTGGTGCCTTTTGTCTATCTTAGAAACTCACTAAGTTCTTTGGATAGCATCCATTTAATTTATAAGTATTTACTGAGCACTTAGTATATGCTTAGCCGCTGGGGTACAACACAGAGTCACAGAGAAAAATTGTTGGCACCCCTCAAGCTCCTATCCTCCTGGGGAAACATATGAAGCAAGATAATGTATAAATAAGGGAGAGAATTTCGGGTAAAGATATAATGAAGCAGGGAAAGGAACGGTGACAAGAGTGCTATTTTTGAAAAGGCCAGGAAGCCTTTTAGGGAAAAGTGCCATTTGAGCAAGGACCTGGAGTGAGGAAGGGAGCTGCGCAGAGCTCTCAGGGGAGGGCAGCAAAGGAGGTCAGCAAGAGGCAGGCCCTGGGCAGGAATAAGAATTTCTTATGTTTCTGAAAAGGCGAAGAACATCTTAAAGAGCTCACAGCATTTGGAATGTTAAGGTTCTGTGTTGCTGTTTTCATGTTTATAGACTCAGTGCTGTAAATGTAGCTCTGTTGCTTACATATTTTAGAGTGAATTTTATTTAGGAGTCTAAATCTACTACGAAGGCACGGCCTTATCTAAATGTCTCTAAAAATACCTCCTGCCTATCACAAAGAAAGAATTTCACTCACAAGAGTCAAAGTTGTTCATTCCACCAGGAGAGAGAAGGCTGGACCAACAGCACCCCTGGGTTTCAGTCCACACTCCCCACTCCCTGACAGACTGCCTTGAACATGTGGCTGGAGGGGTCACAAAAGGGACAGAGAACAGAGCGACAGAAGATGCCTTCTGCAGTCTCAACTTTTAGCCCCAGTTGTTAGAGAACTGGTATCTCCCCTACACATCTGGCTCTGGTGGAGATAGAAATGACAGCTCCTACTTACAACGAGGAGACTGTGGCTCAGAGAAGTCAGGCGGCTGCCCAGGACCGTGGAGAAAGCCAGCTCTGCCTCGTAACCCTCGCTCTGTTACCTGGCTCCCATTAGAGTCTGTGTTCCACTTCAGGAAACGAGCTTGTTGATTTTTCATTTACACAAAAATGAAAAATAAACACCAGATGTTTAAAAACATGTTGCAACACGTCCTGCTGGAACTTAAAAGTGCATTCTGACCAAAAAAATTAAATTAGAAAATCCACATAGCAAAAAAAAAAAAAAAATGTTATGAATGAAAATAGTTTGTCTCTCTCTCACACATACTCTCTCTTGCACACACACACACACACACACGAAAACAATATCTCATTTCTCCTTCAGGGAGCAGCTGTGAAGGAAATTGGGGGAGGAGGGTGGACACAACATCCCATCTTTGTGTTTCGGTACAGACTAAGCTTTTAGGCCAGCTCTCCTGGCTGGAGCAGGGGCGTGGCCTGCATGAGAAGTAAACATCAGAGATCTGAAGAAGCTTATAAAATCGCTTGGGAGAGGCCAGTCACCAAGACAGGCATCTCAAATCGGCTGATTCTGCATCTGGAAACTGCCTTCATCTTGAAAGAAAAGGTATGTACTGTAGTTTTCACCTTTTCATTTATGATAATAATGTCTAAAATAGGAACGGTCTTGGTTCTCCATTGCCCCTTTTCAGCTACATATAATCACCACTGATTGAGAGTTTGTGCCGGTAGCGTTAGACTTGTTCTCATTTTTCCTCAAACAAATGTACAAGGTAGGTATTATCAGAGCCATTCTTCCGGTGACGAAACTGAGGTAGATACACTAGCAACAGGCCTAAGATAAAACCAAACCCGGCGTGAACTCATCCCAGCATCGTTTGCTTCCCCCTCCAAACTGGACAATAAGGAATTTCTCGACGCACAAACACTGTGCCAGGTGAATTCTCAGCGAGCTGTCCAACTGTGCATCACAGTAAAATAGTCTGGAAACTGGAATTAATGGTGTGAATAGAAAATGCATTTAATATCATAAAATACTGTGTTTGGGAGATACGTTTCTTGTTGTATTTAATGGCTAAATGAGTCTTTGAGACCTAATGACTTATTGGAACCTATTTTATTTTATGAGGTGAAATTTCAAAATCTAGTCCTTCATGTTCTGCAGGTCTTTGAGGTCAAGTGCTGTGACCCCAGGCACTGAGGGCGCACGCTTGTGCGAGACCTAGGCTTACATTCTAGCCTGTCCCCAGGCACTGAGAGCACGGGTTTGTGGGAGACCTAGGCTTACATTCTAGCCTGTCCCCAGGCACTGAGAGCACGGGTTTGTGGGAGACCTAGGCGTACATTCTAGCCTGTCCCCAGGCACTGAGGCGCGGAGTTTGTGGGAACCTAGGCTTACATTAGCCTGTCCCAGCACTGAGAAGCATATGAGGTTTGTGGGAGACCTGGGCTTACATTCTGGCCGTGGTTTGCAGGAAGTAACCGGGCAAATTCACCTTTCTAGCCTGTCCCCAGGCACTGAGAGCGCGGGTTTGTGGGAGACCTGGGCTTACATTCTGGCTTCGTAGTTTACCAGGAAGTAACCCGGGCAAATTCACCTCGTTGGTACAAAGAGTGTCAGCAGAGGTCGCCTCCAGAGGAGGTGCTATGGAGACTGAGTGCATAGCACCCTTAAAATCCTGAGACCAGGGCTTCTCCGTGGGGAAGCTTAATGCAAGTGGAGCAGTGATTTCCAGCTAGTGCCAGGTCCAAGGTGGATGCACTATAACCTTAGTAGGATTGCTTTCAAATTACCTCATATCCCGTTAAAAATCATATTTATTTATTTATTTATTATTTTTTTGAGATGGAGTCTCACTCTGTCACCCAGGCTGGAGTGCAGTGGCACGATCTCGGCTCACTGCAGCCTCCGCCTCCCAGGTTCATGTCATTCTTGTGCCTCAGCCTCCCAAGTAGCTGGGATTATAGGACTGTGCCACCACGCCCAGCTAATTTTTGTATTTTTTGTTTGTTTGTTTTTGTTTTGTTTTTTTTTTGAGATGGAGTTTTTGCTCTATTGCCCAAGTTAGAGTGCAATGGTGCGATCTTGGCTTACTGCAACCTCTGTCTCCCACATTCGAGCAATTCTCCTGCATCAGCCTCCCGAGTAGCTGGGATTACAGGTACCTGCCACCGCACCTGGCTAATTTTTTGTATTTTTAGTAGAGACGGGGTTTTGCCATGTTGACCAGGCTGGTCTCAAACTCTTGACTGCAGGTGATGCCCCCACCTCAGCCTCCCAAAGTGCTAGGATTACAGGCATGAGCCACTGCACCTGGCATAATTTTTGTATTTTTAGTAGAGACAGGGTTTCACCACATTGGGCAGGCTGATCTCAAACTCCTGACCTCAAATGATCCGCCCACCTCAGCTTCCCAAAGTGCTGGGATTACGGGCATTAGCCATCGTGCCTGGCCAAAAATAATATTTAAATTATACTTAGTTTGTAAAGTATTTAAACTCCTCATTAGAACAGTCTTCCTATTGATATCAGAAGAAGATGCAAAAATATAAGTGGTATATAATCCATATGTTACCCACAGTCTTAAGTACACATTAAGAACATGCTGAATAAGTAATGGGCAAATTAGAATGGAAGGACATTGAAAACTATGATGGATGCTGTCCACCCTCTCTCACGAGGAGTTTTTGTTGTTGTTGTTGCTTGTTTGTTTTGAGATGGAGTTTTGCTCTTGTTGCCCAGGTTGGAGTACAATGGTGCGATCTTGGCTCACCACAACCTCCACCTCCTAGGTTCAAGCAATTCTCCTGCCTCAGCCTCCCGAGCAGCTGGGATTACAGAAGCGCACCACCATGCCCGGCTATTTTTTTTATTTTTAGTAAAGACAAGGTTTCTCTGTGTTGGTCAGGCTGGTCTCAAACTCCCGACCTCAGGTGATCCATTTGCCTCAGCCTCCCAAAGTGCTGGGATGACAGGCCTGAGCCACTGCACCCGGCCTCACAAGGAGTTTTCACCACAGGAATAAAACTCATGTAGCCAAGAGACATCTTTGGAAGAGAGGCAATCAAGGGGGGTTGCTCTGAAATCCTCCTACTGAGGTAAAGAATATGTTTCAGCCCACAAGAGAACATTTTATCAGAGTAAGATGCAGAACTGACTTTTGTTGTAAGTGTCGTGTGGTGGTGAGACTCATCAGGTCACTGTGGCGGGGGGTTACTGAAAGGCCCTGTGGTGGCATAGAAGCAGCAGGTTCAGGGTGCTGCGGACAGGAGAGGCGGAGATGGGCCCGAGTCCCAGCTGTCTGCCCCTTCCAGGCCCCAGCTTCGCCATCTGTACACCTTGGAAGTAGGGCTAGAGAGATGACCTCTGAGGTCCTCTCCACTGTGGGGGACCTTGTAGAATGTGCACAATGTGTGGCCAGTCTTTGAGCTTTGACCCTCTGGGACAGGCTTTCAGCTTGGGCCTACGAACTAGAACTAAAGATCTCTTTAAAATGGATGCAAATTTGTGTGGGTTTAGGCTGCATTTCTATAAATTCGTCATCCCCTAAAAGGTTAAAAGACAGGTGTTGTTTACACGGTGGTGGAGCTGCTGAGAAAGGGAGCCTGGAAGACCAGGGAAAGCGGCCCTGTTGCAGACTTGCTCAGAGGGGCCTCAGTAACTGTCCCCCACCGCAGCGACCCCAGCTGGCAAGCTTCCACTCATTACATAACTGTTCTTCTGAAAACCAGGCAACAAAACCTCCAGGAAAAAAAAGCTATTGATTATTAAAGGGTATTTAGAGGTTTAGAGACTCATAAGAAAGCAGTTATAATTATTCCTGTAATGACACATCCTTTGAAATGCTCAGATCTGAGAACATTTTGCTTGCATTGCATCAGTCATCATCATTACAGGGAGAAACGCAGAGAGCTGGAAATAGCTCGTGTGCAAGCTACAGGCAAGGAGTCACAAGGAAAGGAGCAAATTGACAGCAAGTCAGTGAAGGAAACGGGGGAGCTTCAAATACCCAGAACCTGCACGCAGTTCTGCAGCCTCCGTCTCCCTGCCCCCTGCCCCCTGTCCCCGCCCCCTGTCCCCCCGCCCTCTGTGTCCCCACCCTCTGTCCCCCTGCCCCTGTCCCCCCGCCCCCTGTCCCCTCGTCCTCCATCTCCCCGCCCTCCGTCTCCCCGCCCCCTGTCCCCCCGCCCTCTGTGCCCCCGCCCCCCGTCCCCCCGCCCCCGTCCCCCCGCCCTCTGTCTCCCCGCCCCCTGTCCCCTCGCCCCCTGTCCCCCCGCCCTCTGTTCCCCCGCCCTCTGTCTCCCTGCCCTCTGTCTCCCTTCCCTGCTGCCCTGCTTCAAAGCCAGCTTCTGCTGCCAAAGGACTCTTGGGGTTGAAATGCCTGCTGCACAGTTACACATCAGCCGACAGTCCTTCTCTGATTTAATGAACTTCATCTATGAAAAATACCCTCGCCGGGCGCGGTGGCTCAAGCCTGTAATCCCAGCACTTTGGGAGGCCGAGATGGGCGGATCACGAGGTCAGGAGATCGAGACCATCCTGGCTAACACGGTGAAACCCCGTCTCTACTAAAAACACAAAAAAAACTAGCCGGGCGAAGTGGTGGGCGCCTGTAGTCCCAGCTACTCGGGAGGCTGAGGCAGGAGAATGGCGTAAACCCGGGAGGCGGAGCTTGCAGTGAGCTGAGATCCGGCCACTGCACTCCAGCCCGGGCGACAGAGCAAGACTCCGTCTCAAAAAAAAAAAAAAAAAAAAAAAAGAAAAATACCCTCAACAGGCCAGGTGCAGTGGCTCAGGCCTGTAATCCTAGCACTTTGGGAGGCCGAGGCGGGTGGATCACCTGAGGTCAGGAGTTTGAGACCAGCCTGGCCAACATGACAAAACCCCATCTCTACTAAAAATACAAAAATTAGCCAGGAGTTGTGGTGGGCACCTGTAATCTCAGTTACTCGGGAGGTTGAGGCAGGAGAATCACTTGAACCGGGAGGGAGAGGTTGCAGTGAGCCGAGGTCGTGTCAGTACATTCCAGCCTGGGTGACAGAGTGAGACTCCATCTCAAAACAAAACAAAACAAAACAAAAACCCTCAACAGAATGTCAAAAAAAAAAAGAAAAAAAAGAAACAGAAACCTCTGAAACCATCATCTTTCTGCTTTTGATAATAACAGTAAGGAGCATTGACTGAGTATTTACTCTGTGTCAGACACTCCCCTAAGTACTCTCTTGATATTATCTCATTTAATTCTCACAAAAATTCATGAGCTGGGAATGAGTATTATTCCCACTTACTAGACAAGGAAGCTAAGGCATAAATTGGACACAGTTATACTTAGCATGGCCAGAGTCAGGATCTGAACCTGGCTGGGTGACCCTGGGGTCCCCAGCAGGCCACTCCCTGTTAAGGTTTCCAAGCGCACTCGGGCTGGTAGAGCAGCCAGCAAGCTGAGGGCAGGGGGAGGGGTGGTGTCACAGAGGCATCTCCCGAAGAATCTCGGAAGACACTAAGCGTTGGGCAAGGTTTGGTTTGGTTTTGTGTCTTTCATGGTTCGCTTGGAGGCTTTAATTTCCCACTTTACATGGCCCCCTCCATGTCCCGACTTTACACAGCCCTCTCCATGTCCCCGACTTTACACAGCCCCCTCCATGTCCCCCACTTTACACAGCCCTCTCCATGTCCCCGACTTTACACAGCCCCCTCCATGTCCCCGACTTTACACAGCCCCCTCCATGTCCCCCACTTTACACAGCCCCCTCCATGTCCCCCACTTTTACGGCCCCTCCATGTCCCCCACCCACCACGGCCCCCTCCATGTCCCCCCACTTTACACCAGCCCCCTCCCTGCTCCCCCACTTCACACACAGCCCCTCCAGCATTGTTTCTGCATGTCCCCCACTTTACACAGCCCCCTCCATGTCCCCCACTTTACACAGCCCCCTCCGCGTTGTTTCTGTTCATTTGACAAGTATCTACTGAGCCGACACTCTTGAGGTCCGTGGGTGATTCTGAGGAGAACCAGACACGGTGCCTATCCTGGGAGATGCATAATCAGGTGGGAGTGGGGTGCAAAATCAACCCAACAAACTGGAAGAGCAGGCGGAGAGTGCCCTGGTGGAGGTGCAGAGGCTCCGAGGAAAGCCTCACAGCAATACGGACAGGCAGGTGTCCCCTGCAGGATGAGGGTTCACATGCGCTGGGGAGAGAAGAGGAGAGACCGCCCACAGAGGGGCCCGTGGGCACAGGACTCTTGCTTCACGATTGTGTGGACTTAGGAGGCTCAGAATGACAACCCCAGCTGCTGTGTGTTCCTCTAACTCCAGGTCCCTTCTCCAGCCACCCAGCCCCAAGATGGTGATGCTGCTGCTGCTGCTTTCCACACTGGCTGGCCTTTTCGGTGCAGCAGAGGGACAAGCATTTCATCTTGGGAAGTGCCCCTCGCCTCCGGTGCAGGAGAATTTTGACCCGAATAAGGTAAAAGGCGAACCTCCCATTTGTTTTGCTGCCTCTGATGTGAACAAGCATTCTACAAGATTCAATTTAATTATGCTGCTTTAATTTCCACTGCACACCTTGGGACACATATTTATCTTATTTGGGGTTTCCCCAAAGCGGACAATCTGCTGAGACAAAGACTGGGGGCAGAGAGGTTCGGGGTGATCCCAGGACGCACGAGAGCAGGTGGGAAAGTGAGTCGGAGACAGCACAGAAGCAATAAAGGGAGCGTTCATGAGCTGTCACCCTGGGCCATCAGGGTCAGTCACACCGGGCACCCTCTGAGGACAGGTGGAGCATGCTCCTCCGAGTGTCCATCAGCTGCTGCCCGCAGGCTATGGGAGCGTCTGTGGCGCTAGCCAAGCCCCCTGGCAGAGGACAGACACAGCGCCTCATCCCCGTCACCTCCCCAAAGCCTTGGTGACCAACTCCCTATTCAGGGTGGATGAGGCAAGTTCCATGCACTCTGGAGTCCTAGCTCCCCACAGCAAACACATCTGACTTTGCACAAGATTTGAAGATGACTTGTAGAATCATGCACTGTTTCAGAAGAAAGTTACTTCCCATCATCCCCCTTTATTTTTTTCTTTTTCTTTTTCTGTTTTTTTCTGAGATGGAGTCTTGCTCTCTCGCCCAGGCTGGAGTGCAGTGGCGTGATCTCGGCTCACTGGGACTACAGGTGCCCGCCACCACACCCGGCTAAATTTTGTGTTTTTAGTAGAGACAGGGTTTCACTAAGTTAGCCAGGATGGTCTCCATCTCCTGACCTCGTGATCCACCCGCCTCAGCCACCCAAAGTGCTGGGATTACAGGTGTGAGCCACCACGCCCGGCCAATTTTTTGTATTTTTAGTACAGACAGAGTTTCATCATGTTGGCCAGGATGGTCTCGATCTCCCGACCTTGTGATCCTTCTGTCTTGGCCTCCCAAAGTGCTGGGATTACAGGTGTGAGCCACCGCACCCAGCCCCATCATTCCCCCTTTTTTTTTTTTTTACAGAGTCTAGAATGTCACAGCAATATTGGCTGAAGGGGACACTGAGAAGAGCCCTTTGCTCAGCATTGACCCCCCGCCCGCACATCCCATCCTAGTCACGGATTCTCATTTCAATTAATCTCTTGCCCAGTTGCCCCTGGGAACAATGAGGCCCATTTTTGTCTGGCTTCCCCAGGACAGGGCTCAACTTCTGCACAACAGTGCGGAAAAGGTTGCAGGTCCCCAGAGAACCACAGGTTTTGCTCTGCTTGTTGTCTCTGCAGTATTTCGGAAGATGGTACGAAATTGAGAAGATCCCAACAACCTTTGAGAACGGACGCTGCATCCAGGCCAACTACTCACTAAAGGGAAATGGAAAGATCAAAGTGTTAAACCAGGAGTTGAGGTGAGTGGCTGCGGCCATCCGGGGCCAGGCCGGTGGCGTGCGGACCCGGAGTGACCAGGTGTCCAGCAGCCTGGGTCAGGGAGGATGGGTCCTTGCCAGGTGTGGACTCTGCTCCCAGCAGGGATTGAGAGGAAGGCATTTGTCAGGCCAGGACGGCAAGGACTAGGATCCACTTATGCGCTTCCATGACCGCCTGCTGGGCACAAACTGACACGGTTCCTGCCCTCACTGCAAAACAGATACTCTGGTAGCAAAGAACATGGAGACCATCTCCTCTGACCTCCAGTCCAGGAGAGAAGCCGCTTGACACCATCTGCTGACAGAAGCATCCAGCTTTGTTCAAACACTTCCGGGAACTGGGAGCTCATCGCCTTCCAGGACAGTTCATCCCATCTCTGGGCAGCTGAATGTATCAGAAAGCTCCTTTTCTTACTAAGCAAGAATCACATACACAATATATACACGTCCTCTGTAAGCAGGATATCCTTTAGAAATGTACAATTCTATTACCGAGGGCTTCTAACACAATATTTAATCCAGAAAGTTACACTTTGGAAAGCAAATATAAACTTAAGAAGAGCCCCAGGAAGAACTCCTTCCTATCCCCCTTCCACTCTTGAAAATACGAATGCAGTTTTCCATGAACATGTTGTGAGTTCACGGTCAGAGACTGGTGTCCCGAAAACCGTTCTGGAGCAAAATGCAATTGACGGTGAAAAGGGCAGAATCTGTTGGGAGGAGACTGGTTTGTTGCTAAGTCAATGTGTGCAGATAGGAACAGACCATCTTCTCCCGCTGTCTGAGATTCAGATAAGAGAGGAGGGCACGGTCTCCAGCTTTACATGGTGATAAACAGAGAATGTAGTAGGGAACATCAGAGCACATTTCCCAAAACCCCTGGCCTGTTGCTCATTGTCTGGTTTCTAGGACATCCGTCACCACTAACCATAGCACTAACCCACTGTCTTTTTTTTTTTTTTTTCTTGAGACGAAGTCTCACTCTGTTGCCCAGGCTGGAGTGCAATGGTGCGATCTCGGCTCACTGCAACCTTCGCCTCCCAGGTTCAAGCAATTCTCCTGCCTCAGCCTCCCGAGTAGCTGGGACTACAGGTGCCCACCACCACTGCACCTGGCTAATTTGTTGTAGTTTAGTAGAGACGGAGTTTCCCCATGTTGACCAGGCTGATCTCCATCTCCTGACCTCGTGATCTGTCCCCCTTGGCCTCCCAAAGTGCTGGGATTACAGGCATGAGCCACCGCACCCGGCCAACCTACTGAGTTTCGAACACATATGACTGCTCTAATTTCAGTTGGCCTCCCTGCTCTGCCTTGAGGATTGATGAACAGACATCATCTCCTCTGTTGGCTCCCTAGGAAGAGCACCCTGATGCCTTTCCACCCTCACCAGGCCTGGTGGTGCACACCTGTAATCCCATTTCCCAGCGAGGCTGAGGGAGGAGAATTGCTTGAACCCAGGAGGCAGAGGTTGCAGTGAACTGAGACCACACCACTGCACTCCAGCTTGGGGAACAGAGCAAGACTCCGTCTCCAAAAAAAAAAAAAAAAAGTGAATCTTCTTTGTGTGTTGCGTTGTTTTGTTTGTTTTTCCATTCTCTTTTATTCACTCTCTTTGGATCCTGGGAGCAGGAATTGGTCTTTCAGGCCATTGCAGATAGTCAGAGACAGTGTTGAAGTGCAAGGGCCTACCATACTGTCCCGTCCTGGAGCTTGTCAATTGCGGCTTCTTATCACCCCGCTCTTCCCCTGCTTGGCCTCAGAGACAGTCACAAAGGAAAGGGCAGGCCGTGGAGCTAGGGTCTAGCCTGCCTTTGAGAGCCTCTCTTACCAGAAATCACGGTGTTGGCTGCCATGGTCCTTAGTGGCACAAATCTTGCCTTTCATTGGTTTTTGGCTTTCAATGAGTTGTTTATCTTTTCTCTTTTCTTTTTTGTTTTTTGTATTTTTTCTTTTTTTTACTCATTGCAGAGCTGATGGAACTGTGAATCAAATTGAAGGTGAAGCTACCCCAGTTAACATCACAGAGCCTGCCAAGCTGGAAGTTAAGTTCTTCTGGTGTAAGTCTCCACTTTTCCCAGGAGGATTCAGGGACAGGAAATATGCAAACTGAAGGCTAGCGCCCTGGCTTGGAGAATTCCTGAGACACCAGAGTGTCATCTATAATGAGTCAGCATATAATTATCTGTCAAACACTTACTACATGCCATGCACTGGGGTTGCCATGATGAGCCAGACAGAGCTGGCTTTGGTACTTACGGAGCTCACATCCCAGTGCGGATACGGACACTAGCTAGCGTTTCAATAGGTGAAACATGAATAGGTGCACACAGGACAGGGCTGTAGAAGACCCAATCCAGTCTTGTTTCTCAGAGGAAACTGGGGCCCGAAAAATTAGCAGATCTTAGCAGAACAACCTGCATGGCGCAGAAACTTGGAAGCAAGAGATGACGAGAGTGATGGTAAATTTGAATCCTGCTTCCGCCACCTTCCAGTCACATTGTTGGGGATCCTGTGAGATATCTAATGAAAGGCATTTGCCTCTGGGTTCTTAGCTAACTGAGGAAGGGACACAGGCAATAGAGAAGGCACCAAACATCAGTTTTACTGCTGATGTAGCTACACTAGAGAGTTCAACCCAGAACCGTGAGACTTTCTAACACGAACAGTGCTTGAGAGCCCCTTTCCCACCTGCAGGGCAGACACTGAAGTCATCAGCTACAAAAATTGCTCCCCCCACTTCCCACTTCTCACCCCTCCTCCACCCCCCACCAGTCAAGTTCCTAGAGGCGGGCGGAGAGGAAGTTCTTATTTTATAGGCCAAGAAAGGAAGCTGGGAGGAGAAAACAGTTCTTCTCACATATATGAATGTGGACAACTAACTTCACATGTACGAGCCAGAAATAACTGCTCAGTGTCATGAAAGTAAACTAGATACACACGCTCTGTAAACTGTAAAGGGCTTTATACACAGTTTCTCTTGTTATTTTTATCAAGAAGGAAGCTAAAGTGCAAGCGGGCTGAGTGACGCAGGCCGTCACTGAACTCATTAGAAGAAGAGTTGGGACCTAAACCTAGGTCTCCAAACTCTCCACTTATTCTTCCCACATGGATCAGGGATGGGGATTGGAGTGAAAGCTAACTATTAGGTGCCTAACAGTCTTCATAAGGAAGCCTGGGACAGGAACTAAAAGAGGCAGGAGCTATTGGCTGGGAAAGGTGGAGGGAAAGATGTATTCCGGTTGGGAGGATTAGGTGTAGGCCTTGTAGGATGTATGGGAGATTATGGGAAAGGATTTCCAAGTGAAGGGAACTGGAACATAGAAGGACTGAATACAGGCATATCACGAAGTCAGAAGTCAGAAGTTCGAGACCAGCCTGGCCAACATGGTGAAACCCTGTCTCTACTAAAGACATAAAAAATTACCTGGGTATGGTGGCGCCTGCCTGTAATTCCAGCTGCTCAGGATGCTGAGGCAGGAGAATCTCTTCAACCCCGGAGGTGGAGGTTGCAGTGAGCTGAGATTGTGCCATTGTACTCCAGCCTGGGTGAAAAGAGGAAAACCCCACCACTAAAAAAAAAAAAAAAAAAAAAAGAAGAAGAAGAAGAAGGCCTGAATAAAGCAGCCTAGAGTCTGGGAGGGTACATGGAGAGGGCGATGAGGTTAGGAAGGGCCTTGAATGCCACATTAGATGACTTGAAGTTTCTTCCATAAACAATAGGAGACTGTCAAAGTTTTCAAATGAGGAGAGACAAGTGAAGTTTTTTTCTGTATTGTATCTGGGTAAATTTACTCTTGAGAGCTGGAGCACGAGAGGAAGGCAGATGTGCAGGCCTGGGTGTGTGTGGGTGGGCCATGATGCCACTGCTGGCAGAGGTGGGAGACAGATTTTTCCAAAATCACTCTGGGCTTAAGAGTTCTCGGCCGGGCGCGGTGGCTCAAGCCTGTAATCCCAGCACTTTGGGAGGCCGAGACAGGCGGATCACTAGGTCAGGAGATCAAGACCACCCTGGCTAAGACGGTGAAACCCCATCTCTACTAAAAAATACAAAAAAACTAGCCGGGCGAGGTGGCGGCGCCTGTAGTCCCAGCTACTCGGGAGGCTGAGGCAAGAGAATGGCGGGAACCCGGGAGGCGGAGCTTGTAGTGAGCTGAGATCCGGCCACTGCACTCCAGCCTGGGCGACAGAGCGGGACTCCGTCTCAAAAAAAAAAAAAAAAAAAAAAAAAGAGTTCTCAGTCCAGCTGAGAGCACAGAGCAGCTGAAATGTGCAGATGGGTGATGACTATAGCGCTCTCGCTCTCTCTCTGGGTGAGTGAGGCAGGCAGGCAGGGCACCAACAGTGCTAGAAAGGTAAGTCGGAAACACTCAGGCTAGGCTCTCGTCCAGACTTCTTTCAAGGGTCTTTCTGTTTCTGGATTCAGAGGCCGGAGGGCTTGGCGGGTGGTTGCCTGGGCCACCCTTCTTGTGTTGTCCTGAGGTTTCTCTTGCCCTCTCCCTCCAGTAATGCTGCCTCTCTCTGGTTCTCAGTTATGCCATCGGCACCGTACTGGGTCCTGGCCACCGACTATGAGAACTATGCCCTCGTGTATTCCTGTGTCAGCATCATCAGTCTTTTTCGTGTGGATTATGCTTGGATCTTGGCAAGAAACCGTCATCTCCCTTCAGAAACAGTGGACTTTCTAAAAAATATCCTGACTTCTAATAACATTGATGTCAAGAAAATGACGGTCACAGATCAGGAGAACTGCCCCGAGTTCTCGTAACCACGCTCCACAGGGAGGCTGTGCCCACTCCACGTTACATTTCCTGCTTTGCTTTCCCCCACCCCACCCACTCCTCATAAACACAAACCAATCAACCATGACAAACCTTCGCAAACACCAGAAGGGAGGGTTGACCACGGAAGACAGTGGTGAGGAGCTCAAGGGAGTTGGCCTGAATACATAGCCATACCCTACCCTGTTACCCTGCTAGCCGCAAAATAAACTGGTTGCTGACCTGCTGTGCTCACGGTGATTGCAAGTTGGATTAATTATTGTGGGTTTTTCATTATAAGCTTATGCTTAGAAATCCTTAAACAGGCTGGTCGTGGTGGCTCATGCCTGTAATTCCAGTACTTTGGGAGGCTGAGGCAGGAGGATCACCTGAGGCCAGGAGTTCAAGACCAGTCTGGGCAACATAGCAAGACCTCATCTCTACAAAAAATTTTAAAAAATTAGCTGGGTATGGTGGTGCACACCTATGCTAGCTACTCAGGAGGTGGTGGCAGGAGGATCACTTGAGCCCAAGAGTTTGAGGGTACAGTGAGCTGTGATGGCACCACTGCACTGCAGCCTGGGCAACAGAGCAAGACACTGCCTCTAAAAAGAAAAAAGAAAAAAGAAAAAAAAAAAATCCTGAAGCAGTTATGTTGAAAAAACCAAGCACTGAATTGTCCTAGTTTAAAGGTAACAATCCTGTTTCTGGAAGCGGGGAAGCTGATGGCAAAGGCATATTCTGGGTGACCTGAATCCAAATGCCCCCATTCTGGAGTAGATGCTCCCTTCAGGGGGAATTACTTGGGGGCTCGGAGTCTCTGTGGGGCAGTTTCCTTGAAGTGTTTACTTTCTCCTCAGGTCTTCAGAGTCAGGCTGAAGAATGAGCCCATCTAGGGGTTTATGTAAGGAAGAGGAGAATCTACGAGGAAGAACATAGGGAGTTTTTTTTTTAAGAAAAAAATACATATATATATATAATCTATACGTATTTTAAAATACATATATATATAATCCATATGTATTTTAAAATACATATATATGTGTGTGTATATGTGTGCTGTCATTCATTCAACTGATATTTACGGAAGCCCAATTGCATTCCAGGCATGGAAAATATAGAATCCCTGTCCTCCCATAGAAGCTCACAGTCTAGTGAGGGAGAAACAGATAAAGATGCAATTATAATCCAAGGTGAAGAGTGCAAAGGCAGAGGCACACAGAGGATGCCAGGGAGCTCCAGGAAAGTCCCAACCCCTGCCAGACACAGGTAAGCACTAGGGTTGTGCAGCTATGCCTATGAGCACTCCAACTTCCCAGTACCAACAGGTCTCAAGAACCTCTTTCTGGCCAGGCGCGGTGGCTCATGCCTGTAATCCCAGCACTTTGGAAGGCCAAGGTGGGTGGATCACCTGATGTCAGGAGTTTGAGACCAGCCTGCCCAACATGGTGAAGCCCTGTCTCTACTAAAAATACAAAACTTAGCCAGGTGTGGTGGCAGGCGCCTGTAGTCCCAGCTACTCAGAAGGCTGAGGCAGGAAAATTGCTTGAACCCGGGAGGCAGAGGTTGTAATGAGACGAGATGGTGCCATTGCACTCCAGAGTGGGTGACAGAGCAAGACTCCATTACAAAAATAAAAAAAACTTCCTTGAGTTTGGTTTTTTAACATTGTGACTTTTAAAATCAGAAAGACCTCAGAATGTTCGCCCTGTAATTTAACTTAACTTAGCTCACATAACTGACAATTTTCTAATGTTTTGGGAAATGAATAGAAAATTAAGCCATCTGATTAGATTTTTGCTTTTTTAACATGAATATGAAATGCTCATTTTCTGGAGCACTCGAGTCTCTTTGATGCTTTAATGATTACAAAAATCCCAAGGATTTTAATATATACAATTTTCATTTAACAAAATAAATATGACCTCAGAATGTAGCTTCCAATTCTAAATCCCAGAAGGCTGAAAGCCGTTAGCAAAAAGGCAGTGAGGAGGTGGGCCTGGAGGGAGGAGGGCCTCTCCCAGGCTCTGCCTGCAGCCACACCCTACACTCTGGCACACTGGCCCCACCACCCCCTGACAGAGGGCATCTGGCTTCTCTGCTGAAAGACAGTCATTCCTGAGCGTTGCACTGGCGAGCTGGCTTTTATCTCAGGGTACATAATAAGTTGTGATTTCATTCCTCTTAATAGCTGTCTAGTAACATCTAAAACAATGAAAGTCACTATATTTTGCAACATTTTTCGTGTCTTGACCAATACATAGGCTCACTTTTTTTTTATGTGAATGAATTACTGAATAGGTAGATAGACAGATGGACTTGAGTTTTTAGGTAAGGAGGGAAAAGGAACCTATGAGGTAGGTGTCAGGGTCACTGAACCTGAGAAAAATTTGGGGGAATCACAGGGCAGCATGTGAGTACCAAATGTCTAGAGGAAACATGGGGACTAACAACAAAAAATCCAGAGGGGAGAGAAAGAGAAAGGAAGTAGGACACAAACCACAAAACAGATTCAATAATGTATCATAAATCTCCACATACCCATCATCCGCTCCAGCAGTATATATAAAATATAAGCTCACCTTAAATTACATAGAGATTACCTTCTCGGAGCACCTCCAGAACAGAAAACATAACCTTGAAATTTTTTGTTGTTGTTATTTGCTAGAGATTTCACCAATCTTGCTTCAGCTATTATCATCCCCTAATTTTTCTCCTAGAGTGCTTTGAAGCAGATCCCTGATATCACATCCTATTGCCCATAGCTACTTAAGTAGAAATCTCTAGCAAATACAGACCCCTTTTATAAAACAAGAAAAAATTGCAAGGTTATGTTTTCTGTTCTGGAGGTGCTCAGAGAATGTAATCTCTATGTAATTTAAAGATTATTTTATATAATCTGGAAGATGAAAAGGAAAATGTATGCACAAGAATGTTCATAGTTTTACTTGTAGCCATCCCCAAGCTGAAAGGGGCGATAAACGAAAGCTAACAGCAGAGGAAGGGTCATAAATTATGAAACAGCCACTTGATGTGATGTCATGCGTTCATGAACATTTTTAGTTGTAAGAACTACGAAGCCACACTCACTGCTGGGGGAGTCCCAGCGCATGGCCTTGCTGCCCTGCAGAGCCAGAATCTAAAGTATGTGACTCCACCTCCCCAGCCACACCTGATTGGACCACCTGAGCCAACGACAGCCAATCCACAGGCTGAACAGAAACCTCTGAGTCTATGGCCTCACGGGAGGGAAAAGATAAATTGAGACAATCAAATAAGGGTTTGACTTTAAGCAGTCTGGAAAGAAGATCATTAAAAGCTCTGGTACTGTAATGTCATGTCGTTTGTAGTGGCCACTACTGGCCATGCACTACTGAAGTGATGTGTGCAGAGCAGAAACGCAGGATAAGCAGAGATCCCTCCGCCCACCCAATGCCCCAGACAGAGCAGCTTCAGTAGCTGTTGGCTCTCCCTGTCCTAGCAGCAGTTCCTGGGGAGCTTAGCCAGCTTAGGTGCCTGCCCTTGGTTTCTGTAAGATTAGGCACGTACACACAACTATTTTCTGAGACAATTTAACTTGACTGAGTAAATGTTCCTGCAACCAAAATAGTCCTCAGACAAAAGCGCTCACAATGTAATGTTGAGTGAAAGACAGAATGTTGCATTTTAACTATGCTGTATTTATAGCCTCATGAAGTGGCATAAAATTAAGAACTAAAAGTGAACAGAGAAAATGAAGGCAATTAATGTGTTAGAGTGGTGGAATCATGGATAATTTTCCCCCTTTTATAGTTCTGCTGCTGCTACTTGGAGTGGAGGCCCTAAAACTTCAGACCCTAAAACCTCCTTCTAGTTTAGCCTGACCCTCTTGTAAGTCAGGTGTCCAAAGAAATAAGCTGCTTCTTCCAGCAACTACCTCAGACCTTGAGACTTTTCTGGACTATTGCCCTATTCTACCACATCCACAGAACAGCTGAGATGTACTAGTTTGTGAATATAGGATGTGTTGTAGTGTAAAATTTCTCTATGAAAGCAATCTTTATTTACTACCAAAAAGGTTCTCTATACACTTTTCTAGGAGACATTAAGAAAGATATCAAGTAATTTAGAAAGTTTTTTTTTTACTTATTATTTTTTTGAGACGGAGTTTCGCTCTTGTTGCCCAGGCTGGAGTGCAGTGGTGTGATCTCACCTCACTGCAACCTCTGCCTCCCGGGTTCAAGCGATTCTCCTGCTTCAGCCTCCCGAATAGCTGGGATTACAGGCATGTGCCACCACGCCCAGCTAATTTTTGTATTTTTAGTAGAGACGGGGTTTCACCATGTTGGCCAGGCTGGTCTTGAACTCCTGATCTCAGGTGATCCACCTGCCTCGGCCTCCCAAAGTGCTGGGATTACAGATGTGAGCCACTGTGCCCAGCCGAAAGTTTTTATATTTATATTTGTCTAAGCATTGTTTTATTTTATAACAGATTTCCACCCCAGAAGCAATCATTTTCACCTTGGTAGTGAGAAACTACTACAGTTTGTTAGATTTGTTAAATGTGGTCAACTTTCATGCTGCAATCAGTGCTTCCAGTAAACACAACATTCAAATAGGCTCAAGAGTTCCCTAACATTTTCCAGCAGAGTAAGGCGATCTGAACTAATCATTGGAAATGCTAAGGAGCAGTGCGGTGAGAGGTACTGGGAGTGGGCCCAGCGCTAGCCCCGACCCCACTTATTAGCCACTCACTCTACCAGATTTCTCCAGCAACTCTTCCAGGTCAAACATTTAGTCTTATGGCTTTGTACATGATAAATAAGGTGAGATTTTGCTGACAAAGAGGGAGTCTTACATCATTTTTAGGGACAATAAGCCACAGACTTATTTATAAGACCAACCCTGTAGATTGTTTTGTGTCTTTCTAAAGCTTACCAATGTACATGTTATTTTGCAGTCAAATGTTCTACCCCCAAGCTATGCTCCCACTTAACTATTTTGATGTATATCTGGCTCCTTGGGGATACGTATATTTTACTCATATTCCATATTATAGTCTATAAATGCACAAAAGTACTGTACGTTATTCTCCGGAGTTTTCCTAGTATACTAATTATAATTAAAGTATTAAAAAGCCAACCTTCAGCATCTTCAGTATACCCAGAGATCCAGGAGGAACAACAACTTATTGAATTATAAAGTGACTCTCTCAGTGAACAAGGCTGGAAGAATTGGGAAAAGAGCTATCAAAGCTGGAGTGTAATACATGTAGTTAAACT